TAGAACTGAAGTCTATCGAATCAGCATGTGCTATATTATTATTATTATTACTTTTGCTATTGTTGATGATGATAAATAATAGGGAAAGTTATTTATAAAGAAGAAGTATAAAACATGTCTAGATATATGATTTGTCAATCAGTATGTATATATATATAGATACAACATATTTACTGATCAAGTAAAAGAAAATAATATTATAATATATATATAAGAAATGAAGTGTGGGGAAGATGATGATGATGACGAGTACAATGCCAATGATAAAATAGTAAAATGAATATATACATTTTACTTGATTGTGTGCAATATAATAATGAAAATAGTAGTATATACGATAACAAAGACATCATATCAAATCAGTGAACTTAGTCGTTTGTTATCAAAAATAAAAAAAATTAAGTTTTATTATATAGAACTAGAAGAAATGAATAAGAAAGAAAATGATGATGATGACAAGGTTGACTTTTATTTGAATCTTGACTTGCTATACATAATATATGTATGTCTTTGAAAAACCATAAACTACAAAGTAGTTTACGATATTCACTACCAAATGCTCGATCAGTTAAACAATAAAATACAAAATTAATATGAAATTTTTGTTTTAGTAAAACAATATTTTTGTTTGTTTTTTCTTGTTACTTGCTGTATGATTTAAAAACATTAATAGTGTTAAACAAACTCGAGTTATTTGCCAACGTATTGATGATTTATATGATTGTAGATGATGGACTATTAATGGACGTATTGATGTTGGTAATGTACAAACAACAAATGTAAACGATATAGGTAATAATAAACATGTTAATCGTATTCCAGTTGCACTTGTTGGATCAAATAATTATTTTGATTTGTGTGTTGTGTAAGATTTTGTTCAATCATTATATTATTTATTGGATCACGATAAAAATGTTACTTATTTGTTTGATTATATGAACGAATAGATGGACATAACTCTGAGAAAAAAATTTCATTTTGTTATTCTTATATAAGTAAATAATTATTATTAGAAACTCATCAAATGTAACATATATTTTTTCATATATATATAATAGAGATAATATTATGATAAATTCTTTAGGTTTTATCTATTTTAATATATCTAATGATTAGCTTTGCAAAAAACAACTAATATAGTTAGAGAAATATTATGATATTTTAAATATGAAAATTCATTTCATTCGATATTTAGAAATTGAAAACATCCTGTATGCAAAAATCGCTTCCGTTTGTACTTAACTTCTTTTTTGTGTACTCAAAAAGTGAGTACACTTCTAGAATCGGTCAGTGTGTCCGTCCGGCCGTATACACGATAACGTTTGAAAGAATAGTCCGATTGAGCTGAAATTTTGTACACAATTCAGTCTCATATAGATCTCGGTCGAGTTCGAAGATGAGCCTAATTGGCCTGACCATTCCCGAGTTATTGAAAAAATACTGATATTTCCCTATGATTTTTCTATATTTTTTTGGGGGGAAAAATAATATAATGCCATTGTCGTAAGCAATTTTTCTACTAGAGTCAAATAAAATTCCACTTATTATGAAGCATTCAATAGAGAATTTCACAAGCTACAAGATGGTACTAAATTATAGGGGTAAACGGGTTGCACACAAGATTGTCCTTGTATAATAGAGTGGGTAAAATATAGAAAACTCATATATGTTGATAATGTGTCAGTGCGATTTTTGTTTGTTTTTCATATTACTAATAACACTTTTTCTAGAGTAGATAGAACTCATCAAGAGCTTGAAAATGATGTAAAATAATAGGGGGTAGATATGCTGCCTTCGATATGCCTTTACTTCACACTTGTGAAAAACCATGAAAAAGCCATATAACTTAATAGTGTGTCTGTGTGATATTCGTTTGTTCTCCGTAGAGTCGACGTTATTTTTATGTACTCGAAAAGTGAAGTTCATAATAGATTGATGTTGATCAATCTGTCTAAAAGAATTCATCCTTGAGCGCACTAAGGAACTGCCCCTTAGTCGGGTGTGGGTGCTCTCTTTTTAGTGTACTCAGAAAGTGAGTATATTACTAGAATTGATCAGTATGTTCGGCCAACCGTTTACATGATACCTTGCGAAAGGAGAGTCAGATATTGATAAAATTTTATACACAATTTAGACTCATAAAGATCTCAGTCGAGTTCGAAGTTGAGCCTAATTGGACGAGCAATTCCCTAGTTATTACAAAAATACTGATATTTTCCTATGATTTCCATATACACTTTTTGCAGTACACATAACTCTCGGATACAATCCGAAGTTTCCACATTTATTTTACAAATAATGAAAGCTATATAATGATATTTAATGATATTCTGAACGAGAAAATATCTTTTAATAAAGTAAATTGGGTTGAAACAAATGCCTTGAAACTATTTTCAATCTATAATAATTGATTAAAGTAACAAAATTTGACGTCTAAAGTCCAATAACGATTTCTCTATAATACATCAAGCATATATACTGTCATTTATGTATGACATGCTTATAGTATTTAAATTAAAAAAATACTAACCTGCGGAACGACTTCGAAAAAATTGTGTACGAATTGTTGATGAACTTTTATTTTTATTTTTTTAAATTGTATCCATTGTTGAAGTATAATTATTTGCTTATAAATAATCTCGTCGTTTTTTAATTATATAAAACATAGCTATAATAATTAAAATATTAAATATAATAATTAATATTGATGATATAATACTATGAAAATATAAATCAACAAATGATAATAATTTTCGATGATCAACTGTTTCACAAACAAGATGTTCTGGATGATAATCTCCATCTGTTAGTATATTAGTATCAAACAAATCAACTGGAAAAAAGCAATCTACTGCATAACTGGAAAAAATAGAAAGAATATTATTGGTATTGAATATGCAACATGCATACAACATAAACGTATAGATTGAAACGGATATCGAAAAACTACAGAACGTTCAAATGTGACAGCAACAATAAGCCAAGCTGATATATAAGTAACTAAATGTTGTATATAAAAAGTTAAATGACATAGAAATTATGAATATGAGGGTGGGTGTGAGTGTACATCTTCTCTTTTTCTTCATTCACGCATCCACACCGTACACCCACACCCACCCTCCAAGATTATTACAGTCTATAATATATAATATTATATAAATACGAGATACATATAGCATGTTGAACAAGGAGAGACTTTATAAATTTCTTGGAAACTACCTTCCATTTTATACTTTTAGTTTTACGTTTCTACCCTCATCTATCTTTGTATGTGGATGACTATATAAATCACTTTGTCTACTAATTTCTGAAGTTTCCCTAGAATTTCAAAATTTTCCTTTTATTTTCTACGGTCCATGTATAGTTATATATGTGTGATAGTATACATCATCTTCTCTACTTATATCGAAAATTTCTTTAAAATTTGTAAATTATTTTTATATTTTCAATGCTTTATCTATCTTTTCCTATATATATATATATGATTGTATACAATAAATTCTCTATCAATATTTGTCATTTCTTGAAAATATTCTTGAAATTTCGAAAATTCTCTTTTATTTTTTAACCTTCATATCTCTTTATACATATATCATATCGTACATTATCTTCTCTAGTAATATGTGAGATTTCTTGAAAATTTCCTTAAAACTTCATTATTTTCTATTCATTTTCCACACATCATCTATGTTTACATATATAGAACAGATTTTATTGTGTTCTTTAGTAATATAAGAAATTTCGTTGGAATTTCAATATTTTCTTTTTGTTTTCTACTCTTCATCTATCTATCTTCACATATTTATAAAACTATAGAATACGTTCTCAAATAATATGGAAAATTTTATTCCAATTTCAATATCTTATTTTTATTTTTTAGCCCTCCTGTCTACCTTAGTATATGTAAGACGTTGCAGATTACCTTCCCCATTAATTTGTAAAATTTGGCTGAAAATTTTAAACTTCTTTTTAACTTTCGACATCTGATCTAGCGTCATCGGTCTATGGTAGCGTTCAATACGTTTTCGAATAATATCTGCAATTTCATCGAAATTTCTATATTTTTCTTAACCTTAGCCTATCTTTAGATATATGACATTATACATTATCTTCTCCGCTAATACCTGAAATTTCATTAAAATCTCTAAATTTCTTTGTTATTTCGAACCGTCATCTATCATTACACATGTATGATGACTTACAGTATCTTCTCTAATAATATCTGAAACTTTCTTAAAATTTCTAGATTTTCTTTTGATTTTATACCCATTACCTATGCTCGTATATGTATGATACTATACAATATATTCTCTAATAATAATCGAAATTTCCTTCACATATCTAAATTTTTTCTTTCTGCTCCCATGGCCACCCAACATACCTCAGATTTGAACTCTCCGCGTCGAAAAACCTCTAGAAATGTCTTTTTCAAAAAATTAATTTTCAATGTTCTTTTGACCTCTCACCCACCCCGCTGCCATAGTCACCCGATAATCGCCAGATTTGAACTCTCCGTATCGAAAAACCTTGGAAAATGACTTTTTCAAGAAATAAATTTTCGATGTTCTTTTGACCTCTCACCCAGCCTCACCCACCCTGCTACCATGGTCACCCAATAGTCGTCAGATTCAAACTCCCCGCATCAAAAAACCTCTAGAAATGTCTTTTTCAAAAAATTAATTTTCGATGTTCTTTTGACCTCTCACCCAGCCGCACCCGCCCTGCTACCATGGTCACCCAATAGTCGTCAGATTCGAACTCCCCACATCAAAAAACCTCTAGAAATGTCTTTTTCAAAAAATTAATTTTCGATGTTCTTTTGACCCTGGCACAGACAAACGCATTTTAGTTTTTTTCGTATCACCCTCCTTTCAGTCGAGGGAATAACTCATAGATTATTTGATGAATGATAATGTATTAAGAAATGTCAATGATTAAATAGCTTGATTACATATAAAAAAAACTTATGATTCAGTTCACAAAAGAAAGTGTCGTTCTGTTTATATCGATTCATAAAGTTCAGTACTATTGAGAATACCACTACCGTCATATCCACCAGCAGCTAATACTGCCCCATTTGCTAATATGGATGCCGTGTGATCATCTCGTGCGACATTCATGCTTCTTGTAATTGTCCACGTGCCTGATGATGGATTGTACAATTCAGCACTATTGAGATGGCCACCGCTGTTCTCTCCTCCAATAACTAGTACGAATCCATTCGCTAATGTGGATGCTGTGTGATAATATCGTACAACACTCATGCTTCCTGTGGCAGTCCAAGTGTCTGACGATGGATTGTACAATTCAGCACTGTCGAGATCGCTACTACCGCTCGATCCACCAGTAACCAATACTGATCTATTTGCTAATGTGGATGCTGTGTGACCATATCGTGCGACATTCATGCTTCCTGTAGTTGTCCAAGTGCCTGTTAATGGATTGTACAATTCAGCACTATTGAGAACACCACTACTGCTCAATCCACCAGTAACTAATACTGATCCATTTGCTAATGTGAATGCTGTGTGAAGACATCGTACAGCACTCATGCTTCCTGTGGTTGTCCAAGTGCCTGTTGATGGATTGTACAATTCAGCACTATTGAAACGGCCACTACTGCCCTCTCCACCAGCAACTAATACTAATCCATTTGTTAATGTGGATGCTGTGTGACCATATCGTGCAAAACTCATGTTTCCTGTGGTTGTCCAAGTGCCTGTTGAAGGATTGTACAATTCAGCACTGTCGAGGTTGCCACTACTGCTCGATCCACCAGCAACTAATACTGATCCATTTGCTAATGTCGATGCTGTGTGTTGATATCGTGCAAAACTCATGTTTCCTGTGGTTATCCAAGTGCCTGTTGAAGGATTGTACAATTCAGTACTGTAGAGGTAACCACCGCTACCCTCTCCACCAGCAACTAATACTAATGCATTTGCTAATGTGGATGCTGTGTGAAGATGTCGGGCGACACTCATGTATCCTGTCGTTGTCCATTCTAAATAAGGCAGAAAAGTGAGAAAAGAAAAGTTGTTCTTAAAATGAATTCGAATCTCTATTGTGTATAAGTTGTCTCTCTATTAATAACAAATTAAATGTTTTGAAACTTTCAATAAACTTCTCTTTGTTTTCATGATTAAGATAAGATTCCTTATGAAATGTTAAACTAAATTAATGAAAAATATGTTATAAACGACTTTATCAATATTTTTCGAGTTTTACTGATGTCGCGAACTGACGAAACCGAAACACTGTTTTATAATTTAGTCATGATGAATAATGATAAAATGTTAGAATTTGGATGAAACTCATTCTACATAGTTCAACATATTGGAAACAACATGTACTTTCGCCATCTTAGATAGATGGTGTATGTATATTTCAGGATGTAGGTAAGAATGAATGTGAGTTAGAGAATATAGTTCTCGTATCGTTCTCATGAGAAAATCAGTGCACTAAGGGCTAACTGATCACGATGAAAGGCGTTTTTCTCAAGTTTGTAATTTGTATTTTATGCTTCTACGCTACACTGTAAACTAGAAAATACGCTATAGAATTTTTTGAAGGATATTCTAGGAATGCCTATATGTATTCGACCAACATTTTTCAAACATTTGAAAATCACCATCGATTTTCAATCTACAGCTTTTTGCTGGGAAATAAATTTGAATTTATAGATTCGCGAAAATCAACGATTTCATAAAAATTCGAAAATCAACTAGCGAATTATAAAATTTAAAAATTGCTGAACGTAGCCAAGGCAATCCTAGAGTTTCAGAAAAATTTACAGTGTATTTTTTTGAACTACTTAACTCTACACCGATGCGACCTAAAACATGAGAGTAAATGCTGATAGGAATCTCTCATGTCGATATTATGTCAGCTAGTACTTCATCGTGTAGAATTATTATTCGAATCATCTTGAGAGTGGGTGGGTGGGCATAAGTGATTACTAAAATGATCAATGAACTCTATTCCAAGAAAATCTTTTATCAACAATGTTTTCGCCTGACACTGTTGGACAGGACAAGAATATTCAATACTTAAATGAGTGTAAGTCAAATCAAGTCATCAAAAATTGGTCTTATTCCGGCTTCTGGTAAGAAATGTTGTCTATCTAGATGACGATTATTCAATAGCTAAAATCAAAACTTTTAGATATCGTCATGTCTAATAATCATCGTTTGAGCTACTATGAATCATTTAACATAGTACTAACTAGGTATTGCTGTTATAGTTGATGTTGTAGTTGATTCTATTTTGAAAAAATGATTTTAGAGTGAGACTAGATGATTGGATAAGATTCGTTTCTTCTTCTGTAACAATGTATCAACGCTAAATATGGGTTGATTATAATTAAATAGGAAATTTTTAAATGATTTCCACTATAACTGTAATTCTATGACATTTAGTTTAAGTATATTTCTCTTATAATAATTTTGACAGCTCAATTTACATTTCTTAATAAGTTTAATAATAAAAAAAAACTTTTCGAATTACACAGAATGAGTCACGTAGGATTTGCATATTCATTCTTTTCTTGACAACTTTCATTTTTATACCAGACGAGAATCTGATCACAAGCTAATTCGAAATGAATGAGGAAAGATTAATAAATTGAATGAACTTAGATCGATCTAATTTCTGATTTTCCTCTCAAAATTCTGCATTATTATAGTGTATCTAGTTATACTATTAAAAGAGTCTTTCTGAGACCGGAAAATTTCTACATGACATATTTATGTTTTATTTAATACTGACAGATCCTCAGTTCAAGTTGGATTTTTCTGCAGGATTTAGCGAGGTGCAATACTAGCCTCAAACTACTTGTGACCATTATATTAATAAAAAAAAGGTCTAGTAATTTCTTATCTATTTCTCAAAGATCTGTCGAATGAGTTATATTTCTATGCTATTTCGATGAAAATAAATTTTTCGCTCTCAGTGATATATATATTTTTTAAATCCCTTCTATTTTTATACTGACCCGTTGGGAATCGTGTTCCACTAATAACATTCATACTAGTAGCATCGATATCGGCCAACATATTTCCATTTTGGTTCAACATATATGCAAATAATTCACAATTAGAAGTTGATTGATGAAAAGTTGCTGCTGCGCATTGACTTTGAGTCAAACAAGCTACTTGACAATTCCTAATGTTTGATGTAATAACATTATTAAATGGTACACAAGTTGTATTCGCACACTGAAACTTGGAATTAATCATTAAAGACATCATCATTGATTGTGTATCTTCTCCGACTACTTGTGAGATAATCATAAATAAAAGCCATAAACAAACTTTTGTTGAAGCCATCAGCCACCAGATTCTAAGTTGATCAAATGAATTCAATTTATAGCAGAAGACAAAGTATTTATCGAGCAGTAAATTCTTTTTTCTTTTCTGTTCAGTGGGTACTGTAGCTTTTTCCCTACACTCATTCCATCAATTTAATGGAAAACAGTCCTGACGCTTTTCCTAGAATATGTTTCATTAACCTATGGAGAAGCAGTCCCGATGTCTTTTTCCCAGAATCCATTTCATTAATCTATGGAAAGGCAGTCCCGGTGTCTTTTTCCTAGAATCTATTTCAGTAATCTAACGGAAAAACAGTCCCGACGTCTTTTTCCAGAATTCATTCTACCAGTTTAATCAATAAAACTAGTCAGGTCTTTTTCACTTTCGAAAAAAATTTATCTACTCGGACAGAAGATTCTCCTACGCGTTTAAATGCTATTTGAGAAGATATATATTCATCAAAAGCACTTTTGAGTTATATGAAAGATGAAAAACATAAAGGATGACTAATCTAACGAAATTATATTTGAAAAGTAAAAATAATCAACATTTAGTGGTCGATGAGGTTTATTTTTATATTCAAATTTGAATACCTCAAATGTATCTTATAGACTACAACATATCAGTGAACTGTCACATCATTCATTTAAAATAAAATCAATCGTTAATATCTATACGAAGAATAATTAGATGAGTTACTTTATCAGACAAAAAAACTGAACACTTCTTCGAAACCAAATACACTCGACTTAAGTTTCTATAACACAAAGTAGAGGTGAGAAGTTATTGTTATCTCGTTGTTATAAATAACAGGTAAATGACAAATAACTTTTTCTTCTGAAAATTCTGCTGGCTGCATATCTTGATTGAACCATCTAAATCAGTAGCAGAGATATAGAAAGTTCATTCCAAAATGTAGGTTTACATAACGAATACAATTAAAATATACAATGAGATGAGAAAAGATATTTTTCAAAAATATAAGTTATTTGTTATTTATCTGTTATTTATGACAAATAACAAAAAAAAGTTATTGTTATTTATAACAAATAACAAAAAGTGTTATTGTTATTTGTAACAATAACTTTTTGGTTATTGTTATTTATAACAATAATAATAAATTCTCACCCCTAACACAAAGTATAACAACATTTTGAAAATCTCTCCTTTTGTTATTCTTCCATTTTTCATTGATTATAATCTGCAATTCAATAGATAATCATAGTTTTTTTTATCAATCTGAAAATGGTCCAAACAACTTAGTTTTATATTTACATAGAATAGTGTAAATATCCCATTTATTACATAAATTAAAATAAACAGTATTTTTAGTATTCCAAAGTTAATTAAATATTGATTTATCATAACAACACATTCTAATGTACTTTTTTTCTGAATGAAAAATAATTCCTCGAGCAAGTGTTTCCATTTTTTTCTTTTATTTATTGTATGCTGCTATGATGTTTTATGTACACAGAACAAGAAACAGAGATCTATTAAAATCACGTAGACTCTATTGTAATCATAATTCTCTTTCTCGCCGAGTAGAGTCTGGCAGAAATAAATTGTTTGCTTGCTTGATTTCTTGATTGCTTGTATATCTGCAGGGTCGATAAAACATCGAAGACCAATTTTCCGGAAAAGACATTTCTAGAGGTATTTTGAAGGTTGAAATTTAAATGTGCGCCTCATTTGCTCAGACTACTGTATGGAGAGGTGTCACTTGGGAGAAGTAACGTGAATTGATAGAAACCGAATTTTTGGGTAATGCATTTTTATGGGTATCCAAATGTTTTCCAGCTTGTAGTGCAGTGTAGCGATCATAAACTGTTGGCCTTCTTGCATATAAGATTATTAACACTTCACTTATTCGTGTTAACGGCTAGTTCGACAACTCACTGGTGTTGATAGTTCAAGTATATTTTGATCTGCGTTTACCCCTAACGAGGGAAATACTTTAGCTAATTCCAAGCTTTTGAGTTTGAGCTTCGTGCATAAGATAGACCTCAATGAAGTATGAAATATCCCAAAAGGATATTTCCCCATCGGCCTTCCCTCCATAGTTGTCGGGATTTTATTGAAATTTAAGCCTATAGTACTGTATACAGTAAATAATGTAGTGCATATGATTCTGAGCTGAAATTTTGCTCACAGATAGGGCTACTAGTAAATACAATGTCCTGAAAATTTCACATCAAAACCACGAGCCC